ACGTGCGATCGCACAACGTACCAGAAATGTATAGTGCCTATGCCAACCATGCAAAGCGTCAGTTTGAGAGGTGTATGCGGCGCAGGACTTGCTCACTGACCATCGCGCAACAACGTTTTCCAGAACGAGGGGCGCATCCAGTCTGCCGTCCGCCGCAGAACGCCCATCCGGTATGTCTTGTACCACGTCAAGACGATGACCAGCACGTCGGCGGTCATCACTGTCGCCTGCCCGGCAATCGTCACTATGTATAGGCGCAGTCAGCATCTTGTCCTGTGTAGCGATGAGTGCATACTTCGCATCGCGAGTGGAATTGGCAGCGTTGACCCACTCGTACATCCGAACGTGGGATGGACGCTCGCGTCGAGCCAAAGATGCTGCGCCTAATGCATACGTGATTAGCCCTCTTGGGCAAGCAACGCAGTTTGGCTGCGGAGTCTCACCCAATGGATGGTGATGGGTATGAGGCAGAGCGTGAAGACAAATGCCGTCAGGGCCTTGTTTCGGTCACTCATTGCCCATGCTCGCAAGGCCGCAAACGCTGCAAGCGCACTGCCAGTGAGTTTCGGTCCAATTTGCACAAATGGTGTTGTGCAAGACGTACATGCGCACGAGAGGTACACCAGCGGTTGTATGATCTGTAGTACTCCGACAAGCGAGCGGCAGCTGTCGGGACCGGCCGTGAGTTGGTGACGGCACGGGGAGCTTGAGAAGATGATTATGACGCGTACCTCTGGATTTGTAAGATGTTTGTGGGAGGTTGAGTTAGCCGTGTATGCGCAGCGGTCGAACCGCACGGGGAACGTACCCCTTCTGACATGGGGGCAAAGCCGCACAGATCCATGAGCTTGACGGATATGGGGAAGTACCTGTTGAAGAAGAAGAACACAGATCCGCTGTTCGCCTTACGCCTCCAGAAGTATGCGACCTCCTTGTCGAAGGTGATCATGTAGTCATAGCACAGGAGTGCTGCAGAGGTTCCGGGGGTTTGAGCCGGAACTATAAACTGAGTGGAGTCGAGCTCTACCAAAAGAAGCGGTTGAACATAGGGCTTGCGCGCAGCTATGAGGAACACGGTGGTAAGCAACAAGCCGCAATATTAGCGACGAGGCAATTGCGTGCTTACAAGGATTTGTACAGCACCGAAATTGGCGTACTGTCAACGTTGACATCATCATGTATGGTGAACATAGTCGGCGATGCCAGGAGTGACAATCGGAGGACCAGCAAGCAGTCCGGTGAGACCGAGTAGGAGAACATGTGGCCCAAAAGCGTTCCTGTGAAGTTATATGAGTTCAATCCCATCACTCTCTAAGTACACGATGTCATAGAGACATTACCAAATCTTCGCCGCGAAGCGAACAGTGTTGAGCCCCGGCGTCGGCTTCCTCCACCGAGCACCTCGGTGGGCGGCACATGCGGTGCAGGCAAACTGCACCTACGGCGTGTTACCGTAGTTTCGCGGTGCCAATCTGTGTGATTATAATAAAGGCGCACTCACTAGTGGCTCGGCGGGCTACCGTAGGTAAATCCGAGCGCGCTCGGAATAACGAGAGGAGAAGATCAGTAGACAGTTCGCGGTGCACTCGATGCGCAGTCCTGCGCCAACAATCACACCGGGTGCGTACTTCGCGACTTCGGTGTTCAGACAGGTCTGCTTCTACGTCGGCTTTCCAGCAGCTTTGGATTCCAGCGGTAACCTGTTCGCGATTCAGCGCTCAACTACAGGCAGTACAGGTGGTGATTCGTGAACTGCAACACTTCGTACTCACATGGAGCTCCGGTCAAGGTGCCAGGCGCGATAATGCGGGGAGCATGTGGGCGGGTGGGATGCCAGCATTTCAAGGGAGTTCTGAGCCAATGGCTTATGATTTACAACTCACTGTGACTCAATGACTCGGACTATCGCAGTGACGACCGCCCTTGTGCTTTCTTGACATATACATGAGTTTCCGGAGAGTTTGGCAAGTGTCAAGCTGGTCCGCCTACTACGGTACAGCGAAATTCTTGTAGTCAGCGCTAGTCAGTGACTGGTCTTGTGCGAGCGAGCGCCTGCGAGCGCTTGCTTACCGGCATCTTCCGAGCCATGTTATATGTTGTATCGCGACCTTTGGCTCTACGACACTGTACAGGACGGCCGGAATACCACTTGTCGGCTGCTCTGACGACGCATCTTCGAATGAACATCACAAGCGCAACGGATGATATGCACATGGGTACGGGCAACAGTGTCTTGTCAAGTACGTCGCTGCGCATGTAGCAGACGACTTGGCGTCAGTATTTGAGCGGCCCCCTCAAGAGCTCCTCACAACGAGTTTTACACTCCGGTTTCGCACCGGTCTGGATTCTCCGCGGTATGAGCTTGTCTCCAGCCGAAGCTTGCAATTGATATCTGCGTCACCGCCAGTGTACTTGGTGGCATACGCCAATGACACCCCCACCGTGACGTCACTCGTCCAAATGACGTTGGCCCCCACACCCACTCGCATATAACCACGCACTCACCGTGCGTTGGCCCCAGCCTCTACCACCAACTCATCAGCTTCACGCCTCTTCTCCCTCTTGTTAACGACAACCACCGACCGTTTCGCGACACCCTCAACGACACCCTCATATCAACCTTCGACCCTCAACATGTCCGGACTTCCTCCGCAACTCACCACCGAACCCGGCACCCCTGCCCGGGAGTGGGCCCGTTCCACAACCACCGCAGCCTTTGCGCGCACCGAACCCGCTCCCGCCATCTCCAACCCCGGCCACGTCGATCCCGCCGGCGGCTCCATCTCATCCGCCAACGATGCACAGAAGGGTGCATTCGATCCCAGCTTCGCCGATGCTGACGTTCCCGGTGCATACCCCGTCACTCCTGGCGACTACGACCCTACCCGCCAGGCATCCCTTCAGGAGACCGCACAGGCCGCAGCCGGCCAGGCTTCGTCCTTCGTCCAGACGGCAGCGACTACCGCTGCCCAATACCTGCCCAAAGGCGTCATCGACACCGTCTCATCCTACATTCGTGAGCAATCCTGCCAGCTGTCCCACTGATCCCCGACTTACTGACGTACGTGCAGCGACGACGTCGGCCACCGCGACCATGTCCAGCGCGCGCGCCTCTGAGCACGATCACGAGCACACGACCTCCTTCCCCACCAAGGAGCTCTCTGGCGCGTCCACCAGTGAGCGTGTAGGCGGCGTCGGTTCTCTCCCCGGGCCCGTCAAGGAGTCGGGCGTGACAAAGCTACCCGACGAGCGTGCCGACGAAGAGCGGTATGCTACCATGGCTGGCGCTGCTGCCGCCGTCGCCGGCGGCGCATACGCCCTCAAGGACCGCATCATCGGCTCTGTACCCTCGCAGGACCAGGCCAACCAGACTGCGCAGAATGCTGTTCAGGCCGCCAAGCAAACCGTACAGTCGACGGCGCAGACGGCGAAACAAGCAGGTGAGCATTTCCAGTGTGGCTCTCGTGTGAGCACTAAATTGAACTTATGCCAATTATCCGTGTTCATGCAGTCCCCGGCGTCCAGTCGAACTCCACCGCTGTAACCGCCTCCACCCTCCCCGCGCACGAGCCGTTCGGCGCCCAGCCAGGCGATCGTTCGCTGGGGGTTGGGGCGCTCCCAGGGAACCAGAGCGAGTCGCACGTCGCCTTGCTCCCCGAGGAGTCGGCGCACCCGCAGTACGACTCGGGTCCCATCGGGACCGCCGCCCAGGTCGCGCTCAAGCCGTCCGAAGAGGAACGGGGCAATGAGGCCGCTACGGGCCAGATGCGCAATGTCGCGGGCGTGGGCGCACTCGTTGGTGGGAGGAGCGAGGAGGGCGTCGCACGGCTCCCTGACGAGCGTTCGACAACGAACACGGGCTCACAGCAAGGCGTCGGGGCTGTCGTTGGCTCCAGGGACGAGCAGGGCAAACAGACTGTGAACGCTGTCACGGGCACCTCGAAGCCGCCTGCTCCACCCGCGAAGGACGAGAGCGCGACGAAGATGGAGGTGGGCGTGGGCGGGCACAAGGGCCAACCTAACCAGGTGAGTGCACTTTCTGGTTCATTCGAGGGCGACCGTCTTTGAACGGACAGCGGGATGGGCACAAGCTTGCCGGGGACCCTGGGACGGGGCGGTATGCGTCCGAGGCTGCCGGTACGCAGACAGACCTGCTCCACGCGAACCTCGCGCCCCGCGTGCACGCGCTGGGGGGAGACCGTGCACGGTGGGGCAGCGTCCCTCTGGACGGCGCGCACGCGCGTGCAGAGCGCGATGAGGACGTGAGTGTCGCTGCACTACCACGGCAGGCCCGTGCACCTCGCAGCGCAGAGGTCTTCCCTTCCCTCCATACTAATGCTCGCACCCTCAACGCTGAACACCTTGACTGACCTCGATGCGCATAGGGTCCTGGATATGACACGGACTACCACCCCGCGAAGCTCCACCCGCCCACGTCGACGTCGGGCGCGGCGGATCTCACACAGCATGCGAGCGAGGGCGAGAAGAGCCTCGGCGCGACGCAGGCGGACGCAAACCGGCCGCCCGAGGCGCAGCGGCGGCCGCACTCGGGCAACTCGCCGTCGCCGTCGCAGAAGGAGCGCAAGGCGACGTTCATGGAGAAGATGAAGGGCGAGGCCAAGGTGCTGATGGGCAAGATTGAGGGCAAGCACGACAAGGTTGAGCAGGGCCAGCGCATCAAGAGGGGTGAGGCCACGGCGTGAGCGTGTACTGGAGTAACGAGCGTGGACGATTGTGCACCTTCGACGGACAGCAGTTGTTGATTTGTGTACGAGTACACGTGTATCCAATTGGGACTCCTTCAGGCTTCAAGTATTGTAAAAGACAGTATAATGGGCATGTTGTTTGCTCGGAATTGCAGCATTCCCACCAAGTACCGCTGATGCCATCGGTGTAGTTACATAAAACATGAGCGTGGTTTAAACTGTGACTCTCAGATGTGTGCAAACCCTCGAAGGCTACCACCGCCAATCAAGAAGGGGACCATTGGTACATGGTAGTAGCAACTCCCGGTTTCGATCCAGGGATTTCAGGGTATCAGCAAGTATGAACCCTGCACGCTTCCACTGCGTCGAGTAGCCGCCATACGACGAGCTCAACAACACCCAGGAACAGTATACTGCACTCACACTCGGTCAAAGCAAGGCCACTAGAAATACAGCTTGTGTACATGGCCACTGAGACAGACGACGGAGGAGTCGAGAGAGCGTGCGATCGGTGCGACAGCAGAGGTCACCGGCCCTGCACGGCGAGCTCGCGGAAGGCTTGGCGGACATGACGGATGAAGGCGTAGATGTCGCGCGACGCGTTGAGCTGGTCGAGTAGGATGGGGAGGATGGGCAGGTACGGTGTCGTCGTCGGGACTGTGGACGTCCATACGTGCGGGCGAGCGGTCAGTCAGGTGGGGTGCGAAAGGACGAGAGAGCGGGAGAGAAGGCGGAAGGAGAGTAGAGAAGCGTGGAGGGAAGGGGTAAGGGAAAGACGAGGACGAGGACGAGAACGAGAACAAAGAGGAGGTCAAGGAGAAGGGAATGGAAGGGAAGGGGGAGGAGGGAACGCACCCTTGTACGCGCGGCTGGAGACGTCGAGAACGAGGCTGAACTCGCGCGCGAGGTCGTCCGGGTCGAGGTGCGTGAAGCGGACAAGGAGCTTGTCCCTGTCGATGCCCTCGATCGTGCACTTGAGACGGTCCTCGCATGCGGAGAGCTCGGGCTGTGTGCGGGAGGCGTGGGTGGAGAGGATGGACTCCTCGCGCTTGCGTTCTGGGGGCGGGGCCGTCAGTGGGTCGGGTTAGGGAGGGGGGAGGGAGAGGGGGAGTCTTGCGAGACACAGGCGATAGAGCACGCTGCACGCCTTGCCTAGTGCGTGGTCCGCAAGCCACTCGAGACTCTCTTGCAGCGACGAGCGAGCGGGGGACGTACCTCGCATGAGGTTCGCGACGTTCCTCCGGTGCAATTCGATCTCGGCGTCGAGCGACGCGCATTTCTCCTTGATGGACGCGAGCTGCCGGCGGAAGGCAGCAACACTGGCCTCGCTCTCCTTCTTCTCCTCTGCTTCCTTGTCGAGCACTGCAGGGAGGTACGTGCGCACGGTCAGCAAAAACGGGACAAGCGAACGAGTGGCGGGGGGAGGCGCACCGGCGACGAGCTCGATCTCCCTGAGCTTGCACTGGTTCGTCTCGGTCTCGATGGCCTGGGTGCGCTCGGCAATCTTCTTCTTCTCGCTCGCAAAGTGGTTCTTGCGGTTCGTGATTTCGGAGACGGCGCGCTGGGTGTAGTTTGAGACGGCGGCGAGGAAGTTGCGGGTGGAGGCGTCGTAGGCGTCGAGGCGGAGGTCGATCTGCGGGTTTTGCTGGGCGAGGACGGCAGGCAGGTCAAGCTTGGGCACGCGGAGGACGTGGGCCATAATGTTTGTCGTTCAGCCGCTTGATTTCAAGTTTAGCTCTAGGATGGATGAGGGAGCGGCGGTAGGAGAGGAGAGGTCAAGGCGTAGGATCGCGTCGCGTCCGCGCGACGCGGTTGACATCATCAGGAGTGCACGTGGGATTGCACACATGTGGGAAGAGGTTACGTAACTGAATTTTTATCCGACAAAAGGTTGAGATCGATCTGTACGTCTGCTTCTCGTGCCTCCTCACACCCAGACTTCTCAGTTCTCTCCCGACATACCACATGACAATGGCCGCGCAAAACGAGGCTACGAACCATCCCGCCAATCCGCCCGATTCCGAACGCGCCTCTGTCGAAATTCTCGACGAAGACGAGCTCAAGCTGGTGATTACCTGCCGAGGAGACACGAGGGAATAACTGTGCAGGACTGGGTCATGCTGAGACTTACCTCCGGTAACGTCATCTTCTAGTTGTGGACTGGTGTGGCTACGGGTATCCTTGGCTGGAAATCCCTCGCTCGCGGTTTGCTGGTGGGTCGGGGATGACTATCGGCACCAGAGCGGCGGATGAACAGACATGGGTTGAGATTACACCGTTCGAACCTGATCAGCGCTCAGACCTGCGTAGGGAAGCCCCCAGTGTCGCTTTTATTAGCCCCCATAAACCAAGGGGGCTCCAGCAGAAGTACTGACCTTATCTTTGCTTTCATACTTCGTAGCGCAAACTGGGTTACAAGCAGGTAAGGCACATCGCTCTCATAGCTCCAGCCTTGTGCACACCTAGCTAACAATCGGACCAGCAATTGCATAGAAGTTGGCATTTCTTAGAAAGCTTTGCAGCCGCATTCGTAGCCATGAATTTCATCGGCGGTGTTCGGTAGATGATACCGAATTGTTCCATTCAGGGTTAACGTTCTAACGCGCATCTTCCTAGCGCCGGATTCTTCCTTGGACTACTCGCTGGTGGCCCGGCAGCTATATGGTTAGCACAACTTATGTTTGCGAGGCACGTCTACATACTGACCCGCTACATAGGTCATCGTACATCATCTCGATGATCTTCATGTTCATCACGGCAGCGGTCATGGCCGAGATTTGCTCTGCTCTCCCGTTGAGCGGTTCCATCTACATCTGGTCCGCCGAAAGCGCGGGGCCAAAGTATGCCAGATTTTTCGGCTTCGTCGTCGCCTGGTGGTCATGCACCGCATGGATGACGTTCGCTGCTGGCAACTGTCAGGTACGCGCCTTTATCGACATCTTGTACTTCACGAGTCTGATCATATATAGACAACCGCGAACTACATCGTTTCGCAATTAGCGGTCTGGGAAGTCGACTTTCCTGGTGGTATCGGCAACCACAACGTCAAATGGCGCGCGCTCATTTGGGCCGTGTCTGAAGGCATCTTTCTTCTGGCCATTGCTATCAACTACCTACCGCCGAAGGTTTATGGCTTTGTGTTCCGTTTTGCCATGTTCCTCTACGCCGTCGATTTCTTGCTCTGTGTCATCTGGCTTCCGATCGGCGTCTCCAAAACATACGGATTCCGTTCTGCCAAAGACGTGTTTACCATGACTTGTGAGTCTTTTGCATCGCCATCAACCTTCCTACCCGTACTGAGAAGAATTTAGACAACGGCACGGGCGCGCCCCCTGCGTGGAACTGGATACTGTCCTTGTGAGTTGATTGCCATATTCATGACATGTCAATTCTCATGTCCTGCAGCTTGTTCACTGCCGGTTCCATGATCGGCTTTGACGCTTCGGGTCATATTGCCGAAGAAACGAAGAACGCCAGGTAGGCATCAACCGCATTCCTGCGTGATATGCTCTGAGTCCGTCTTCAGTGTTGTTGCAGGCCGCGCAATCATATCTAGCGTTGTGGCCACGGGCGTGTTGAGCTTCGTGACAGTCATTCTCTTCCTCTTCTGCACCCCCGACCTCGACACATTATTCTCTCTGGAAGCGCCTCAGCCGTTCGTTCAAATTTACGCGCTCGCGCTTGGGAAAGAAGGCAGTATCGTCATGACTGTCATCGCTTCTCTCGGCTTGCTCCTCGTAAGTTTGGTCGTGTTGAGGATGCGCTATGCATGCTGATGTAACGTTGCTCCAACAGAGTACTAGTGTTGCGATCGTCGCCGCCTCTCGACTTGTGTTCGCGGTCGCTCGTGACGGTGTCCTTCCGTTGTCGTCGTGGATTGGCCAGGTCGACGCCGCTAAGCAGCCTCGCAATGCTGTCACCGTGATGTTTGTGTTCGGCGCGGCGTTGTTGTGCACCATTCTGCCTAGTCAAGTCGCATTCACCTCCCTCGTATCTGCGGGCGGCATTCCGACCACTGCTGCCTACGGGTTGATCGCCTTGCTCCGGCTTACCATGACGCCGGATGAATTCAAAGGGTCTCATTTCTACCTCGGTCGCTGGCGGAAGCCCTTCTATATCGCAACGGTCCTGTTCAATGGTCTGGTCTTTTCGGTACGTTCCCTTGTAAGTTCTCCAATGCAGCCCACTGATTCAAAACTTGTAGGTTCAAGTCTCGCCGTTCGTCTACCCTACTACTGCCGAAACGTTCAACTTCGTGAGATCCCACCTGCCGTCGTACATGTCGAGTTGCCCTCATCTTATTACTGTTGTAGGCTTGTGTCATCCTCGGAACCGTTACGATCTTCGGTATCCTCAGCTGGTACTTTATCCCAGAGGATCAATGGCTTCGCCGCGAGCAAGTCATTCAGCAACTGCAGGCCGCCAATGAGCCCATCAACGGCGCGGACTCATACGACTCTGCCTCTGTTATCAAGCCTCAGGCGTCGACCTCCTAAGTCCGTGCCGTAGATTCGCCATATGCACCATCATGGGAAGGCGCAATCGTTCAAACATATGCCCTATGTACCGTTCTTCTCCTGATTACAGCGTACCTCCTGGATCTGTGTTGCGTATATCCTAGCTGCACACGATAGAGTTTAGAATCGCAATACTGTTGGTCATTCAACGTAATGTTCGGACCAGGCGGGCCGGAGACCCTGGTTATGTCAGAAACCCCAAATGGCCCTAACCCTAGATTCGGTTTCGGTCCATGTTTGCTCGCTCACTGTCAACTCGTCGGCGAGCTGTGGTCAAGGCAGCTTCTGCCACGAGACTTCGTCCCGCACCTTCACCTATTCTATGCCTAGCTTGTCGCTGTTATGCATCTGCTGTGACTGTCAAGGGCTCTCGGCAACTTAAACCGACGAAATATGGCCAGCCTCTAGCTTCCTCGCACGCTCACCTAATCCGCAAAGAAGAGACGACGCCCGGGATACCGCAGAAGGAATATGATAGGCGGCGGAGGGAGCTAATGGAGCGCTTGCCAGATGGCAGCATTGCTGTATGCGTGGCGGGACAAGTGAAGTACATGAGTGGACGTGAGTTCCCAGCTACATCTGGCCGTCTTTGCTGAATCGACAACTCTCATATCTGCTCGTAGAGATATTGTACGTGAACTTTGCGACGCACGTTTTGCAGCAGTCTCGCTGACGGGTGAGTCGCTCAGCTACAAATTCCGGCAGTCGTCCGACTTCTGGTACCTCACCGGCTTCGACGAGCCAGACGCGGTGGTCATCATCGAGAAGCGGCCATCGTGCCCCCGCGGGTACTACATGCGCATGTTCTCCGCCGGCACGGACACCGCGAAGGAGAAGTGGGACGGCGCGCGCACGTCA